CATCTTCGGAGGCAAACACCAGGAAGGGAAACGTGCGCTTTCGCGGGCTGAAGTTTGGGCTCTTCGGCTACAACCTTTCGATTTTGAGATCAACCATTTTGCAGGACCATCCAACATTTCGGATACTCTCTCGCGACTTTGTTCTCCAAACGATTTTCCATTTGATGATAATGCTGATCACTATTTATGTGCAGTTGGGGAAGGTCCTATGGCAATTACAAGCTGTGATGAAATTCTTCAGGGCGTAGTGGAAGCGTTGGCGTCGGGAAGTTGGCCAGCAGTTCTTTTTCGCTACCAAGCATTTTCAAGAGAGCTAGGAGTTACAAATGGATGAAAGTCGAAGTCGTTCGGGATGAAAGAATCGTTCTTCCAAATAAATTACGTTCGAGGGCATTGGAGATCGCTCACAGGGGCCACCCGGGAGTAGTAACCATGCGAAGAAAACTTCGAGAGAATGTATGGTGGCCGTGTATGAATCGGGACGTGGTTGATAGAATTCAGGAGTGTGCTGGTTGGGCTGCTGTTAGAAATGGAACACCACCAGAACATATGCACAGGAAAGCCATGCCAGAACATACCTGGCAAGAGATCGCTGTTGATTTCTTTTCAGTGAAGGAATGCGCAACGTTTTTAGTGGTCGTCGATTACTACAGTAGATTTATACAAATCGTTGAAATGAAGTGTACCACAGCAGCAAAAACGATCGAGGAACTGGAAGGATTATTTGTGGAACATACGTACCCAGAAAAGATCCACATCGACAATGGGCCTCCGTTTTCGAGTGAAGAGTTCCCTAGTTATTGTTTGAGTAAAAATATCAAACTTGTACATACAATTCCGTATTGGCCGTAAATGAACGGCCTCGTCGAGTGGCAGAAACAGGGCAGACTTAGAACGCTTAGGATTGCTAAGGTAATGAACTCAGACTGGCAAAAGGTTGTCAAAGAGTACGTGTACATATATAACACGACTCCACACTCAGCTACGGAGAATGCGCCAATGGAGCTTTTAACTGGTCGACCGGTTAAGGATTTGCTACCTTCCTTGAGAACCGATCCTTGCTGGCATCGTGATGAGACTGTGCTTGACAGTGATGCCATTAAGAAGATCAAAAGGAAGATATACGCCGATCACCGTTGTCATGCAAAAATTTCAGAAATAAAAGTAGGTGATGACGTGATGATCAAGAATTATAATAGTGGAAAACTGGAGCCCAAATTTCGCCTAGAGAAATTTAAAGTGATGCAGAAGTCCGGTAATGATACAATAGTCGTAAATGGGAATGGAGTTCGACTACGTCACTGTGTTACTCATCTGAAGAAGTGGCCTTCGTCATCATTACCACCGCCGTCATCACCAACATCTCCTGAATCATCGTCATCATCAACATTACTTCATCGTCGTGAGTCATCACAAGGAGCACAATCTCCGCCATCCCTATCAGTAGGAGGAAGCACCCCAAAAGGAATAAGAAGTTGCCACGTCGATACGTTCAGTGTTTAACCGGAAGTGATTGATCATTTTTGTTTAGAGAAAAGGAAGGATGTAGAGTTTAGGATTAGAGTGTTCAGAAGCTTGGATAGGATTTGAGAGAGCAATCAAGATGTAGAGAGAGAAATAGAATGCGGAGTTGTAGGTAGCAGTTTCATCTAGCTAGGGGATTGAGGATTGGACGGTACAAGTGATTGGTTGTGAAATATAATTGTTGCGGAAATAAACCAAACATAAAAAGAACGTGTTTCTTATTAAAATATCAGAACCCATGTTATAGAGGTAAGATTCTACAGTTACCCTGTTTTAAAGCGCATATTCACGCAAGCGACATAACCTCATTAGATTTATGTGTAGTGCTTTAGACGACGTTTTTGAATTAATCATTTTGTCAAGCTTCTGCATTCATGTTCCATCATATGTCACTGCTGTTGTTTGCGGAGACATCTATCGGAAACTACACACAATCTGTTTTCTTATAATTGTTCACAGAGGATTTTTTTTTTAACTTTATTAAAGAGATTTTTAGCCTTAGGCTAGTTCATCTCTTGTTCACAGAGGACACTGCAGTGCAAAACATGACAGGTATCTCTTTATATGCATTTAGATTATTATTTGAAGTCCCTCATTTTTTACACATTCTGCACACAAAATAGCTCCCCCTCACAGAATTTCCCGCCAATTTTTATGTATGAGGCGGGGCAAAAATTACCTTTTGCGCAGAATATGTAAAAAAGGAGGGATTTAAAATGTTAAACTAAATGCATATATAAAGGTACCAGACATGTTTTGTAGTGACAGGTACTCTATTGTATAATCTGTGAAAGGGAAATCACAAATCGAGTGTCAACAAAATACATGGCATGTTGAGAGATTGAGGTCGTGAGAGCAAATTTTCTCTCTCAAATTTAAATTGTTTGGCTCTCTGGGAACTGGTAGTAAACCAGGTAAAAATGTAGGGGAGGGGGATCATTTTTATTTAATTGTAGCTTGTTTAACAATAATTTCCGGGAAAAAAACTGAACGACAAATTTCTTTAGGTTGTCGTTCACTTATTTTCACCTGAATATGCACCGAAAGCGAATTATTCCCACTTCTCTCAATTTCTATATGGGGATTTTTATCATTTCCTACCAGCGAAACTGCGCCATCTTTGTGGAATATGTTCGAACAAAATGATTAATTGTTTGACTTCAACTTGACCATAAGAACCTTTCAACAACGACTCTCTTTAAGGCGATAGGTTTTTGTAATACTCTAGTTTAGAAAGATTTTTTTTTGTAATATTCTAGTCTTGTTCATAAATTTAACTGTTCATTAAGACCACAAACGAGTCAGATGATTGATAGGTAAATAAACAACAATAAACAACATACTATGAGCGCTTCTTATTTGCTTTTAGCCTAGAGAGAGCAATGGAGAAAGCACAGATCTTATAATTGGAATGTGCGTGGTTCGAGTCCAGTCGGCAACCCATTTTCTATTTTCATTTTGGACATAATTCATTTCACTAATATTCTACATTTTTCGGTCCCCATTCTTTTCTTGCATTGGACCACTGCTCGATATATCTCATCATCCGTTCAGACGAACTCCACTAACATCCTGCTATGATAATTATTGTAAGCAAATCTTACATCCCCCGGTTGGGTGCACAGTTGTTAATTGAGGGCATTTAGTATTATTGTGTGGCAACTTGACACTGGCAAGTACAATCACACTCTATGCCCAGGGAAGTCAAGAAATTTTTCAGCTCGAAAAATCCCTAGACAGGACCGGGAATTGAACCCAGATGGCTCCAGTATGGTCCTGCGTTATAGCTGAACCTTTACTGACTGAGCTAAGGGAGGGCCCAAGTCTAGATCGGATATGCAGAAGAAATTGTCTGCATTCAATAGAAAATTCCCCATTCTTCAGTCACTGGAAATTATCAAGTCATTCTACCGCTTTGCTCCACGCAAAGCTCATTCAATTGAATAAATGCTCACCAGAAATGCTTTGTTGTGCATCATTCTCAAAACAACATTTATCTTCTTTAACAATCAACGTACCCCGCGCTGCATTCGTTTGCCCGATTTCATGGAAGCCGCACCGAGAGAAGAAAAAAAAAATGCTCGTGAAACAATGCAATCGTTCCGAGAAAACAAACCCGGAAGTTAACTTTTCCCGCATCACATGCCATCCGGAAGGATTCACTTCAGTAGGGTGGGGTCGTAGGGAGAATAGTATCATCATCGTCGTCGTCGTCGTCGTCGTCGCTGCACTTCGTTCTGTGTTCGTTTTGAAACATTCGAGGAAATCCTGTTAGTTTTTCCATCATTGCCAACACCGCCGTTCTTCGCCGCGCGAGAAAATGTCAGTACCTACGGTGGGTGCTTGTTGCATCCATTGACGTCGTTTTCCACAAAGTTGCACCATTCAAGCTTACCAGCCTCGGGCGGAAGTTGCACCGCACCACGACAACGAACGCGATGCGAGCGAGCACAAAGATTCTCCATTCTTGATGTCTTCCGGAACTATCAAGCTACTCTACTTGTAGGTGCTGTGTACGCAAGTCTATCTGTAATGGAAAGGACTAGCAGAGTACAAAGGGGAGAATGGTTGTTGTTTTTACTATCAGGATTGAGTTGATAACTTCGGGGAACGCGCGTGTCTATTAGTTTTCCAGTCGGCAAGGGCCGCCATCGTGGGTAAGGCGGGTAAGGGGCTGTTCATAAACCACGTAGACACCTTAGAGGGAGGGGATGTGGCGAGTGTCTACGGTTCATACAAATTAAAAAAACAAATATATGGACGATTGTCTACGTGGGGGGAGGGGGTCTAAAACCGCTCAAAATCTGTCGCAGTTTATGAACAAGTCCTGCTAAGACCAAAGGAAAGCTAAATGACGACCCAACCTGACTGAAGCATGGAAATTGCCACCCACGGGGGGATGGGATGATAGCTTTCGAAGTGATTACCTCGTTTAATATTTATAATTACTTTTAAATTATGGTAAAGCCTCCGAGGGATTCTGTTGTTGTTGGAAACAAAAAAGGTTAAGTCTTCTTCTTCTTCTAGGCGTTTTATGCTTCTATAGCGAGCGTTTTGCCTGCTCTCAACGTAGTGTTCTAGATGCACTTCCACGGTTAGTAATTGAGAGCTCTCTATGCCAACACCAATGCATAATTTTGTATATTGTGTGGCAAGCTCAACGATATACGCTATGCCTACGAAAGTCGAGAAAATTTCCAACCCAAATTATTTCTTGACCGGATCGGGAATCGAACCCGCCGGTAATACCGTGCCAGAGGCCCCTAAAAAGGTTGAAGTGCCTAAACTGAATCCAATTTCTTTATGATTCAAATGTTCAAAAATTTTCAGTTCTGTGTACGGGACCGTTATGATAAAATTTCGACAAAACTAAATGTCAATTGATAGCTTGTTCCAGATCAATTTGCTATTCATGTAAAAGTTTCTCACCCAAACTAACCCTTTTTCCCTTTTTTTTATCTTTTTCTTCATTTCAGATCAGCAGCATCGATATCGTAAAATTTGAACGGGGACTTTATTCTCATTCGATTAAGTCGGAAGCTGCAAAAAGGTAAACTGGCTTTTTGTAAACTTTATTATGTTTATGTGTTAAGAATCCATACTTACCTTTTCCGAGAAAGCACAATTTATTTGATAAGGCATGAAATGAAGATGCTCAAGCTCACCTAGCATCTACCAACATGATTTCGTCTTTCTTCTTTCAAAAGTGTATAATGTAAGCATTTGGAATCTCACCAATAAATTTCAACAAACTACGTGGTTTTGCTAAATAAGATGAGCTGCAAATAGAATTCAACCCACAACACCATCGGTTGGTAGGCATTTAGCAATAAAACGAGCCAACCCGCGCCTGAAACTGATCTTAGCTCATACATATACCATTCTGCGAAAAGGTAACGCTGTTTGTTCAATTTTCTAAAGAAATGCCAAACTTTAAATAAATACCTTGCTTTCCTGGAATTCACGGATAAACAGAAGATATAGATAGATGGCATTTACGCTCGAGTAACACATTGGGACATTTTTGAGAAATTTAAGTAAGAGTGATTGGATGGATACTCTAGCATTTTAAGGTGATTCCTTGAAGAGTCCTAAAATGGCACTATATGTCCTTTGCTTTCATGATTTGTAGAGCACAAATCTCGGACACTGTTGTGACATCACCCATGAAACTGGAACTCAACGACAGCTATGGCATAATCATTAGAAAATTTATATTTTTCCGCTCTTATACGCTCTCAATATCACGCGTGATATTGATTTTACAAACTCCATTGATATTGCGAGACACAACGTGTAAAGTTGAAGGTGAGAGTTGAATCGACGCAAAAATGATTCCGTTGCATTTCGTTTTCTTAGAAAGAGAAGGTATAATAATGCTAACTTTTTTCACGACCAACAAGCCGTCCTGGAAAAAAAACATAAAGTTGCAAATACTGAAGAAAGAAATACGGATCGAAATAATCGGCACAGACCTACGCACCTACGCGACGAAATAAGGACTACAATTGGAAACTCGGAACATGGAACTGCAAGTCGCTCGGCTTCCCAGGCTGCGATAGGTTAATCTATGACGAACTTCAACCACGCAACTTCGAAGTCGTAGCACTGCAGGAACTTTGCTGGATGGGACAAAAGGTATGGAAAAGCGGGCATCGAGCGGCTACTTTCTACCAGAGCTGTGGCACCACCAACGAGCTGGGAAACGGCTTTGTAGTGCTGGGTAAGATGCGCTAATGCGTGATTGGTTGGCAGCCGATCAACGCAAGGATGTGCAAGTTGAGGATTAAGGGCCGTTTCTTCAACTACAACATCATCAACGTGCACTGCCCACACAAAGGGAAACCCGACGACGAGAAAGAAGCGCTCTATGCGCAGCTGGAGCAGGTGTACGACGGCTGTTCACAACGGGACGTCAAAATCGTCATCGGCGACATGAACGCTCATGTAGGACGGGAGGCAATGTATAGACCGGCAATCTGGCCAAACAGCCTGCATGCCGTATCGAACGACAACGACCAACGATGCGTGAACTTTGCAGCCTCTCGGGGTATGGTAGTTCGAAGTACCTTTTTCCCCCGCAAAGATATCCACAAAGCCACCTGTAGATCACCTGACCTACATACAGAAAACCAAAGCGATCACGTTCTCATCGACGGGAAATTCTTCTCCAACATTATCAACGTCCGCACGTACCGCAGTGCGAACATAGATTCGGACCACTACCTAGTTGCAGTATGCATGCGCTCAAAACTCTCGACGGTGCATAACACACGTCGAAGCCGAACGCCGCGACCCATCATTGAGCAACTACGGGACGCCGGAGTTGCCCAGGACTACGCGCAGCAGCTGGAAGTTGCACTTCCCACGGAAGAGCAGCTTGGCGCAGCTTCTCTTGAAGATGGCTGGAGAGATATCCGTTCTGCCATAGGTAGTAGTGCTGCAGCGGCACTAGGTACTGCAATCTCGGACCGAAGAAATGACTGGTTTGACGGCGAATGCAAACTGTTAGTAGAGGAGAAGAATGCAGCACGGGCGAGAATGCTGCAACACCGCACGAGATTGAATGTGGAGCGATACAGACAAGCGCGGAACAGACAAAACTCGGTTTTCCGAAGGAAGAAGCGTCAGCAGGAAGACCGAGATCGCGAGGCGATGGAAACTCTGTACCGCGTAAACGACACACGGAAGTTCTACGAGAAGCTAAATAGTTCGCCCAAAGGCTACGTGCCGCAAGCCGATATGTGCAAGGACTTCGACAATAACCTTCTCACGAACGAGTGTGAGGTGATTGAGACGTGGACGCAGTACTATGAAGAGCACCTCAACGGTGAAGCAGCAGAAAACGAAGGTGGCACGGCAACAGACCTTGTAGCAGGCACAGAAGACGACAGGCTACCGGCCCCTGATCTTCAAGAAGTTGAAGAGGAGATCGGTCGGCTAAAGAACAACAAAGCGACTGGTGTAGATCAACGTCCAAGTGAGCTAATACAATACGGTGGTGAAGCACTGGCTAGAGCGCTGCACTGGGTAATTGCCAATATTTGGGAGGAGGAGATATTACCGGAGGAGTGGATGGAAGGTGATAAAAAGGGCGACAAGTTGGATTGCTGCAACTACCGCGCGATCACACTGCTGAGTGCGCCTACAAGGTATTCTCTCAATTTATATGCCGCCGCCTGTCAGCATTTGCAAGAGAGTTCGTGGGGCAATACCAGGCGGGATTCATGGGTGCCCGCGCTACCACGGACCAAATTTTTGCAATTCGGCAGGTTCTGCAGAAATGCCGCGAATACAACGTGCTCACACATCATTTGTTCATCGATTTCAAATCCGCATACGACACAATCGATCGAGATCAGCTATGGAAGATTATGCACGAGTACGGATTTCCGGATAAACTGACGCGGTTGGTCAAGGCGACGATGGATCGAGTGATGTGCGTTGTTCGAGTATCGGGGGCACTCTCGAGTCCCTTTGAATCTCGAAGGGGGCTACGGCAAGGTGATGAACTTTCGTGTCTGCTGTTGAACATCACGTTAGAAGGTGTGATCAGAAGAGCTGGGATAGACACGAGTGGCACGATATTCAGGAAGTCCATCCAGCTCCTTGGCATCGCCGATGACATTGACATTATGGCACGGAACTTTGAGATGATGGCGAAAACGTACATCAGACTGAAGGCTGAAGCTAGGCGGATTGGACTTGCCATCAACGCATCGAAGACAAAATACATGAAAGGAAGAGGTTCTAGGGAAGACAATGTTAGCCTCCCACCCCGAGTTCAGATTGACGGTGACGAAATCGAGGTGGTCGATGAGTTCGTGTATTTGGGCTCACTGGTGACCGCCGAAAATGATACCAGCAGAGAAATTCAAAGACGCATTATGGCAGGGAATCGTGCCTACTTTGGACTCCGGAGGACGCTCCGGTCGAATAAAATTCGCCGCCGCACGAAGTTGACTGTCTACAAGACGCTGATTAGACCGGTGGTCCTTTACGGCCACGAGACCTGGACTATGCTCGTGGAGGACCAACGCGCCCTTGGTGTTTTCGAACGGAAGGTGTTGCGTACCATCTACGGTGGAGTGCAGATGGATGACGGAACGTGGAGGAGTCGAATGAACCACGAATTGTACCAGCTGCTGGGAGAACCATCCATCGTCCACATTGCAAAAATTGGGCGACTACGGTGGGCTGGGCATGTCGTAAGAATGCCGCACGACGACCCAGTGAAAATGGTTCTAGAAAGCGACCCAACAGGAACAAGAAGAAGAGGCGCGCAGCGGGCAAGGTGGATCGACCAAGTAGAAGGTGACCTGCGGACCCTTCGCAGACTACGAGGCTGGCGAACTGTGGCCATGGATCGAGTAGAATGGAGACGACTTCTTCGGACAGCAGAGGACAACAAGGCCTTAGCCTGATTGGTAAGGTAAGGTAATGTTTAGGGAAGTCCTACTAATGCTCAGGGAAGTCTTGCCGTAGGTCAGGGAAGGCCTGCCGAACTTCAGCGAGGTCCTGATGAATTTCAGGGAAGCCTTGCCGAAAGCTCAGGGAAGTCTTGCCGAAGTTCAGGGAAGTATTTCCGAAGTTCAGGGAAGTCTTCCCGAAGTTCAGGGAAGTCTTCCCGAAGTTCAGGGAAGTCCTGCTGAAGTTCAGGGAAGTTCTGCGGAAATTCAGAGAAGTTCTGTTGAAGTTCAGGGAAGTTTTACCGAGCTTCAGGAAGTCCTACCTAAGTTCAGGGAAATCCTGCCGAGGTTCAGGGAACTCCTGCCGAAGTAATTTATTAGGTTTTTTGACCTACGTATGGAGATTTCTTTTATATGGCTTTCTCAGGCTAGGATAATCCAAACAGGGAAATGCAAAATTGTCTGTTTGGATTACCCTAGATTGAGAAAGCCATTTTAAAAAAATCTCCTGCCGATTTTCACAGAACTCCTGCCGAAATTCAGAGAAGTTCTACCGAAGTTCAGGAAAGTCATGCCAAAGTTCAGGGAACTCCTGCTGAAGTTCAGCGAAGTCCTGCCGAAGTTCAGAGAAGTTCGGCCGAAGTTCAGGGAAGTTCTGCCGAAGTTCAGGGAAGGGCTGCCGAAGCTCAGGGAAGTCCTTTCATTTCAATTCTTGGAAATCAGAGAAGTCCTGATGAAATTCAGGGTACTCATTCAGCGAAGTCCTGCCGAAGTTCAGAGAAGTTCTGCCGAAGTTCAAGGAAGTTCTGCCGAAGTTCAGGGAAGTTCTACCGAAGTTCATGAAATTATCTAATTATCTTTAAAAATACCACGATATATCAGAATACCGTCATCAAAAAGGCTGAAATTTTTACAAAGTATACTCAAATTCTTGTGAAACAACTTTTTGTATTTGAAGATCAAATTGGTTTAAAAAATATTTTATTGATCAATATTGATTCAGACGAAGGCCAAAATCACGAAACCGATTCTCAAAATTGAGCAGTGACATCTCATTACACCGAACGAATTTTAATCGTCCAGCCAAATTCCTCTCCCGAGTTCGGGAAAGTGCAAAGCCGAACAGGAAAGGTCAATGCAT